TCAATAATTTAGGACTTGTTTCGTATAATATTTTCTAGCGCAGTTATTTTGCTATTTTACATTAAATTTCAATATTTTTAATAAACTAGACTATATGCTTCAATTTACCGCAAACAAAATTGTTATCTTAGGTTTTTTAATGGTATTTTTGAGCAGTACTTTAATATTATAATTTGTACAAAACTAAAATTAAACACTTGATCTTATTATAATGTATAATAAGTAAAATAAATAAGCTTTTAACATTATTGTTAAAGAATCATAATGTACAAGGATTTAGTATGTATATATATTTATATATATATATATATATAACATAATATAATTTTAATAACTTTTACATTTTTGAAACAAGTTTTATGTTTTACATCCTTGTGAAATACTAAATCCTTGTACATTATGATTCTTTAACAATAATGTTAAAAACTAATTTATTTTAATTATTATACATTATAATAAGATCAAGTGTTTAATTTTAGTTTTGTACAAACAAATTATAACATTAAAGTACTGCTCAAAAATACCATTAAAAAAACCTAAGATAACAATTTTGTTTGCGGTAAATTGAAGCATATAGTTTATTAAAAATATTGAAATTTAATGTAAAATAGCAAAATAACTGCGCTAGAAAATATTTTACGAAACAAGTTTTAAATTATTGATTCTAAATTATAGCGCATTTAAATTCAAATTGGCAATAATATATTCTTATATGAAATGTTTATCAATATTGGATCTCGGGATGATAAAATACTTCTGCCCCTATATTTTAAGACCCATTTGCTACCAGTTGGTATTTAGTTTCCTAAGTGTGGCGATCATTTTGGGTTTTTTTACCAAATTCATTTTTTTAGCATTTTACAATAAATTTATGTAGCTATTTTAAATTCTGAAGACATGAATCGTTAATCAATCAATCATAGTATAATTTATAAACATTTGATAACAATTTAATCAATATTATTTGAGAATATTTCCTTGATAGATCCAAAATTTCTAAATTTCGCGCGATAGCACTGAGCGTTTTTAATATTTCAACTAGACCTATGTTTAAATAGCCCCAATAATATAATCATATTTTCTACAAAAGGTTAAAATTTAGTGATCCTTGTATTTTCGTATCCTTAAAAAAAGATAATTGGCCAAGAGAAACGATGCTAAGACATGCACATGTGCTAACGGAAACAGCACAAAGAAAAATGTTTTAAATTTTTTTTTTAAATGGTAATTGTATTTTCAGTAAAATTTATTTTCAGAAAATGGAAAATAGAGGTCAATTCGAACGAAAACTATTATTTTTAATTAATTAGTATACAAATTTATTACCAAATCGATGTACTACGATATTAGATATTAACGAAATAGTTCTTAAATTTTTTATATTACATGTGAGGCTTAGCATATTCAGATCAGAGTAATGATGTGTTATTATTCCATAGATTAAGATTAAACATTAGACGCAAAGTTTTTAAGGTTTTATTGTAAAATTTGATAAAATTATTACAATTTGTATCATTACAATCTTAAATAATTTGAAGAATATTTCCAATGTCACTAGATGTAATCCTCTTTAAAAAATTGGACTATTGACTAATTAGGGGCATATTTTGGCATAAAGTAATTTACTAGTACTACAAGACACATTTCAGCAAAAATAACCAAAAACAACTGCTTAATATTTGTCACTTCAAATTAAATAGCATTTAGAAGCATAGACAACTGTCCTTTAATAATAATAAGTTGCAATTTTTCAAAATTAATTAACATTTTTATACCCACCATCAAAAAAGATGGGGGTATATTGTTTTTGTCATTCTAAGACGATCTAGCCATGTCCGTCCGTCTGTCTGTCTGTTGAAAACACGATAGTGTCCAAATGGAGGTAGCTGAAATTTTGCATAGATATTTTATAATGATTCAGTTTGTTTGGTATTGAAAATGGGCAATATCGGTCCACGATTTCGCCTAGCCCTCATATAAGGTCCCCTTCAGAAAATGACTTTAATGCTCATAACTGTCTAAAGGAAGCATCTATAGGGATGAAATTCGACATGAACATATTTTATAGGAACCTAAATCGCTTTGTAAAATTTTATAAGGATCGATCATAATTAACCCTATCCCCTATATAAGGTCCCCTTCAGAAAATGACTAACGCTCATAACTGTCTAAGAGAAGCATCTATATCAGTGTTGCCCATACACACACTGTTACACATTCATTTGTATTGGTAAAGCAGCAGAGAACAAAATGTAACCCAAAATAAAACTGTACTAATAAAATGACTGCATACTAAAAAGTATATTCTAACTGTTAAATTGATATTATGGATTTTGACAGACAGCGTACATTAAAGTTCATATATAAAAAACTATCAGCTGTGCTCTCTCATTCACCTACATAAATTCGGCTTTCTCAAAATTTTGTTGTTGTATTTCTGTGTGGATTTTAAAAAAGTTGCGTACAGATCTTACTTCGACAAATGCTGATCAGCAACTGAGTTGATTTTGTTTTGCAAGTTGAGAGATAGTCAACTAGCACATGCTCAAATAAGAAAATACACAAGTAAGCTTATAGTTTAGTTGAGTCAACGCAACGTCAGCAGAATATTCTTGCCCTATCTCGCGTGATAGGGAATAGTGATTTTGGGCACCTTTGATCTATATCGATGAATTCGACATGAACATATTTTATAGGAACCTAAATCGATTTGTAAAATTTTATAAGTATCGGTCCATAATTGACCAATCCCCCATAAAAGGTCCCCTTTAGAAAATTACTTTAACACTCATAACTGTCTTAAAGAAGCATCTGTAGCGATGAAATTCGACATGAACATACTTTATAGGAACCATAATATATTTGTTTTATTTTGTATGGATCAGTCAATAATTGACCCTATCATGTTCTACAAAATTTTACGAGGATCGCGCCATAACTAATCTGAACTGAATTCGGAATTATTCATTAAAGGCCATCTTACAAATGTTACCCTAATGTTCATATTAATATCGATATATGTATGATGGTAAAATTCTACATAGATGTAATAAATTAAAAAATTGTTTTGATAGTAACAAAAGCATCGGCATAGCCGAATATAACACTCTTACTTGTTCAATATTGTTTCAACTTATTTCAAAGAGTGCGCTATAATTATGAAACAGTTTTTTATAGTTAGTTTTGTATAAAAAGCCCTATTACCGTTATTTTGATTCAAAAATAAGCTGAAAAGTTTTTTTTGAGAAAATTCTGTTAATATGTATGATTAATCTGAATCACTGAATAATTGTCTGCATCATTTTGGAATTGGTTCAACATCACTTTCATCACTAGATGATATAATCATATTGCCATCATATGGTAAAATATCATTTTCATCACTTGAATTTATATATCTCGTGAATAGAGGACGAGATCAAAGAATTTTTAGGAGTTTAAATTGTTTCTTTTCTTGTTCTTGATATCCGGAAAACAGATCAGTCAGTCCGTGTTGCATCCATATTAAGAATTTGATTTCTAGCTTAATAAACGTATTTTTAATGATTTTTTAAATTCTCTTTGTCTGTTTTTAATATTTCATTACTTAGTTTTAGCCAATATGCGCAAATGGAATGTTAGAAATATTTTTCCATTATTTTAATAAAGATTTTAGCTGAATCTAAAAAGAGCTTTAAATTAATTAAATTGTAATTAGTTAATTTTCAAATTGGTTTTAATTTAATCTCAAAACTTAATTGACAAATTATAAAAAGAATAACATTTTAATCTAAAATGCTTTCTTAAAACGATACAAGTAAAGAATTCTAAAAGAAATTTCAATTAAAATACCACCTTTTCAAAATTAAAATTTTCCATGCCTGTGTTTAAGTGAATATGAGAGTAAACATTTTTCTCTTTTCTTATTGTTCGCTCTCGCAAAAACTGACTAATCATATTGTCGCTAGGCTTTGGGGTATATTATTATATTTTTTCTCAAGCTTCATTTAAATCGGATGACTTTGACCTTCACAGTTAACATTATTCGATTTTACTGAACCTTATATAGATATGTTTCTTATAATCTGGACTTTTATATATTTTAAAAAGGTTTTATATTAATGTATAACAGTAGAGAATAAAGATTAATTGCAAACATTTTACCAAAAAAAATATTTCTCTGAAGTGCTCAAAATGTTAATCGCAGGTACCGCTAATGTATAAGAGATTTAATTTTTTAGTTATTTTATTTATTTATTGTCCATAATTACATAGAGATTTTCTAATAATATTAAAATTTGCTTAACAAATGTATACCTAAAATACGTTTTACGTAATCTATTGAAGATAAAACCCATATTTAAGTAACCACGAGTATATTTAATGTAATTACATGATTTATTTATAACAATAGGGGCTTTTTTTAAGTGATTACCTTGGATTTATTTCAAGAAAAAAACTATCTTTGGAGCCGTGGCACCACCAATTAACGTGGGCCTATCGTCCTAAACTTTTCCGGAATTTACTTTTATAACTAGAGGCAGAAACAGTCAATAGTTGCAACTCCGGTAAATTTACAGAATTGAATATTTGAAACACAATTATACAGTCGCGTGGACTAGAAAATCAATATACGAAAAATTGGTGGGTGTAACGACTTTCTTATTGTCATATTTTGGAATCAGCACACCAAAAAAGCTATTTTATCGTTGGCAATGAGCAATAACAATGAAAATCAATGTTGCAAAATGTTACAAAACCATTTTTTTGTGATGGCTTAAAATAATCTTGTAAAAAGTGGTAGAAATCGCCTTGGGATAATTTTCATAAAAATTTTAATTTTTTATAGCACCATTTTAGGTAAACTTTGTCTTATATTTCATGCACTCTTTTTCGGCTGTACAATAATATTCTTAAGAAAACTAATTTTCGAAGGAATTTCCTAGAATGTGGCTTTATATTTTCTATTTTCGAGAAGCTGAAATTTCCAGGAAATTCCCGACTGTAATCGTGAGATCAAAATAATTTTTTTTGTATATGTTACAGGTGAGGATAGCTTCCGTCCGATGTCTTCACTCATTGTCAAGGTCTGTTCAACAACTAAGAACAACATTTCAGGTATGATTTACTTTGTCTTCACTGAATAGAAATTTCAAACATAATTAACACTGCTTTAAAAACTTGTTATGCTTCGTACACTGCATACTTCGTGAGAAAAGGAGGAGAAAAAGCTTAACCCCTTCAAACCACGAGCTTTGTTGTACTGAATACGGGAATATTCAAAACTTTTTTTTCGGAATAATATTTAGTTCGTTAAAATTTTAATACCAGTACAAATTGTCAAAACTTCATAACTTTAAGTGATTGCAAGAAATATTTCAAATATTCAGTCGTTTCAAAAATAAATTTAGTATACCGATATCCTTTATTCAAAAATTGCAAAAAAAATTAATTCTTGAAATATTGCACAAAAAGACAATGAGGAATTCCATTTTAAAATATGTTTACCATAGTCACCGATTTGGATAAAATATAATAAAATATAGGAAGGTCCACAAGAGTGAGACAACGTAACAATGTGCTTATTCCAATTTCATTCTACTTTATTGAGTTAGATCGAAGTTTACGAGCTTTTTCAGTGTTGTATTCTTATCTATCATTAATCTTTGTCGCAACACTTTTTGTTTTTGTAAGCTCTGTTTATTTCTGTTGATTATATTCAGTCGTGAATCAACAGCAGTTCATTAAACATGTACATATGTATATCCACTGTTTCCAGTGTGTTTATATATTAAGTTTATTGATTTCTTCGAACTGTGATATTAATATTAATTGAATATTCTTCATGTTCGAGTTTGGATCCCACTTGGGGATAAGTTATTTTCCAAATTGTAATGATATTTTTAATTATAAGAATACAGAAAATTTAATTTTTCGGACACAGTTGTAGCGTTCTAGCTCCAATGGTTTCTCCGATATACCAATTTTTGCATTTAATTCATATGTCCGCCCATATTGATATCAATGTGGTTTGGACGAAAATTTTTCTTCGAATCTTTATTTTTAAAAATTTATTTTAATTTTAATGCCTGTTTTACAATTTCGACGAAATCTTGTTTTTATACCCACCATCAAAAATGGTGAATATTGATTTTGTCATTCCGTTTGTAATACATCGAAATATTAGTTGTATACCCACAAAAATATATATATTCTGGGTCCTTATTAAATTCTAATACGATCTAGCCATGTCTGTCCGTCCGTCCAAAATCTCCCTACCATATTTTATGAGGATCGGTCCATAATTGACCCTACCCCTTCAGAAAATGACTCCTTCAAAATGACTTTAACGCTTAAAAATACAAGTATAGTGATGAAATTCGACACACAAAATTCAAAGCCAAAATCTCTCTATCAATTTTTATGTGGATCGGTCCATAGTTGACCTTACCCCCCCTTTCAAAAAATGACTTTAACGCTTATTACTGGCTTAAAAATACTAGCATAGCAATGAAATTTAACATAAATAATCTTATCTTATCTTATTATCTAAAACCTTTTGAAAATACCCAAGTATTGTTTTATACTCAATAAACTCTATTGAGTTGGTGATGAGAAGGGGGTTATTTGTTAACTGGCACAAATCTACTACACAGGTTTTAATTATAATTACTTATGGAGAAGTAATGTATAATTATTGATGAGAGGAAGAAAAGAAAGGAATTTAAATGTTCTTTTCAATGTTTATTGTTTGGTGTAGCTCACCGTTTATATTATATTATTGTATGACAATTTTAAAATTCAAAGTAAGTATTCTTTTGTTAGATAGTATAAGAAACCTTAATGTTTCACGTTGTGCGACCAAATTTCAAGAGGCCCATTTTAAGCCAATTTAAACAAAATTAAAGTATAAATTGCAGTTATGCAACCTGAGATTTGTTGTCGGCAGCACCAAGTACCCGTGCTAATGAAATAATGGCATCAACAATAAGCTTGTTGTCAGCGTTGGCTAACGATGGTTTTCGCTGAAGTCGTGGCGGCTGTTGGTCTCCTTGACTCTGCGTTTAAGATGACGGGTGCAACAACGTATGATGGAGGTGGTCGCGCTTTTTGCAAGTCTCCATCGACGAACACGATCTTAAGCTGTGACTACGTGCTAAACAATTAAGGCAATAGCGGTTCCTTTTAACAATTTCCAATAGATTCTAATTGTCATGTTGAGAAACCTTTTGCAGACTCTTAACGGGTGATGTTTCTGGCACAGTGCGGATATTTTTGGATCTCTGATCCTACGCTGACCACTGTTTCTGTTGCGACCTTGCTGTGGGCGAGTGGCGCAGTGCGGATATTTTTGGATCTCTGATCCTACGCTGACCACTGTTTCTGTTGCGACGAGTTACGGTCGCAACAGAAACTGTGGGCGAGTTACGGTCAATCATCTATTAGGCCTGGTGGAGAAAAGGAGAATAAATGTTGGATAGTTATTATGAAGAGAATGAGAATGAATGATGAGTGTGAATATTAGAGCTAGATTTAGTTAGTAGAGTATTTGATAGTAACTAAATGGCAGAATATTCGAATCATTATTTTCATTGTTTAAGAATGGGTGAATCTAAGTGAATCGCTATCGTACAAACAAAAACACTAACGTATCCTTTGATAGAGACAGATTTTCGTAGGGAAGATATTTTGAGATCAAAGGGACCTGCAAAGTCAATGCCTGTTATTTGAAAGGGTACCGACAGAGTACATCTTTCAGGTGGTAAGGGAGCCATTATTTGGGTACAAGGCTGTTGCCTGTAGATTATACATGTCTTGCAATTTCGTATAATGGTTTTTATTCTAGGTTTGAGTCTCAAGATATGAAATTCCGTTTGTACCATTCGGCGCATTTGGCTACATTCCGCATGAGAAAGAAATTCGTGTAAATGTTTTAAGTAAAGTTTGCAAAATTTGGAGTTACCAGGAAGAATTATTGGATAACGCTCATTATAAGGGAGATGAGACTGAGTTAATCGGCCATTTACACGCAGAACTGAGTTCGAGTCGATTAGCGGATTTAGTGATTTGAGAGCACTTTTATTTTATATATTTTGGGATTTTGCACAGCATTCATATTCTTCTAAATAATAGTTTTTTTTTGAGCAATGATTATGAGTCTGATCTTGTCAAATTTCATTTCCTTTTGGGTTGAATATTCATGAGTGGAAGCCTGAACATCTTGCCTTATATTCTTAACACATTTTTTAAAGAATCTGAAAACGTAACATATGACACGAAGAGCTTTTGTATAAGAAGAAAATCTGTCCAAAATATCACATTGTTGGACTTCTGTGTGTAATGCAAGAGTTATTTTTTGGTTTTTTAAGGGTTTTAGAGGATTTTTATTTGGCCATTCTGATGGCATGATGGTCCATGCCACCATGCCAACAGTTGCACAAAAGGCAGTCTTAGAAGCGTCTGAGAAATCATGGATTTGGATAATATCTGAACGAGGAGGAATTGAGATTTTACCTAATTGTGAGAGATGATTAATGGGTGTAAAAGTATACGTAAATGCATCCGTAAGTGCATTCCAACTGATCATTGGGACTCTATCGTGCTTTCAACAGACAGACGGACAGACACGGCTAGATAGTCTTAGAATTTAATGAGAACCCAGAATATGTATACATTTGTGGGTCTATGACCAATATTTCGATGTGTTATAAATGGAATGACAAAATCAATATACCCCCATCTTTTTTGATGGTGGGTATAAAACAGACGTCGGCGCTAGTATTGTTCTGACAACGAAGATTTTCGGCAAATTACATGTACACAACACGATCGCAGACGAACTTCTAAACAAGAGCATAAAAAATACAAATATTTTATTTAGTTGCTTGACAGCATTCAACAAAGCAGGTTGATGTCGCTTTGTTAAAGAAATTGCAAACACAACTTGAAAAAACAAAAACAACTTGCAAAAACAAGAGCATATTTTACAAAAACAACGTACACCCTAAATAATTTTCTAGAATGCATAACAATGAAAGTAAATAAGTTCATCTTGTTTCATATATTTTTTTTTTGTACATTTTAATTTGAAATGTTGTTTCTATGTGAAGAAATTATCATTCTTATATACATTGATTACATTTTGTTTGTAAATAAATATTCGCATTTTACAGTAATGCAATTTAATCTTCAAAATTAAAAATAACCAAATATTTTTTTCGGTGCAATTTCATTGAAAAAATGCCAATAGTGTGTGTGTAGTGGTGATTTTTTTATCTGCCTCTCTATACGCCGGTATATGGCATAAAAAGATGAAAGTTACGGTGCAGGGCCTAAATAACCCAGTACCGGCGGCAAGTGTTGATCCACTCGCGAGTCACGTGTCGTCGTCATCCTGCAATCGTGAGCAAAATACTACTACGGAGGTGTGTACCTTGGCCTCAGTGGCGGACAATGCGTCAAGTGTACAGCATGCCATTGGCAAAAACATAGGGGTGAAAGAGAAGGATGTACTCGGAGAGAGCTCTAAGCTACTATCTGGAGCACAGAGAAGGATTAGGCAGTAAACTGGCTAATGAACGTATACTGGAAATTCTTGTTGGTCAAAATGCTGAGTTGGCCGTGGAAAATGGGATGTCTTTTACATAAAAGAAGAACCTGAGGGAACTTTATTAGTAATAGGTATCGACCAGAAATCTATGGCTAGTCTTGCCAAGAATAAAAGTAGGGCTTACTTCGCCTCTAAAGCTGTCATATTCAAAATTGGGAAGGTGCCGATTGGAAGGGCTGTTACAACAAGCCTCGAAAAGGACACTATAATACCTAAGACCACAGCATCAGTAGCAACTACTGATAACGTTAAGGAATCTAATCCTAAAAGCGAGGAAGCTACCACTGACTCGCCAAAAGAAGGTGCAGCTGCCCTTTCCAAAATTGTGGTGGTGCCGATTGAAAGGGATGTCAAAACCGGCCCCGATAAGGACACTACAACACCTAAGACGGTACCCAAAGCATCGTTAGCAAGTACTGGTAATTTTGAGGAGTCAAATCCTAAAAGCGAGGAGGAAATCACTCACTCGCCAGAAGACAGAACAGCAGTGCTGTCCAAAATTGGGAAAGTGTCGATTAAAAAGACTGCTCTTGCTATGCCTGATAAGGACACCGCAGTGCCATCAATGGTACCCACTGCATCAATAGCCACTTCAGGTTACCTGGAGGAGTCAAATCCAACGAGCTGGGATGTGATCACTAACTCGCTGGAAGACAGTTTAAATGGATGACAATGATTGAGGTTATCCAAATAAACGTCCATCGGAGCGAGACGGCTACCAACGCCCTGATGGCTAAAATTAACGCAGGTAAGATACATATAGCTTTAATCCAGGAACTTTGGACGATTCGCAACAAGGTTTCTGGATTAAATCACGTAAATTTCCAACTTTTCTACACTGATACATGTAACATGTATCTTATGTCACAAGAACTTATGTTTTCTCCTCTCAACCAGCGTTGCCACTTTGGTCCAATTGGACCAAAATTGGTAGTTTCAAATCTCTGAAATGACTTTTGGTAGTTTGGTTGGTAGGTTTAAATTTTGGTCTAAATTTAGTAGGATGAGATAATTTTGATCTCATGCATATGAATTTATAAACATTTCTGATCTTGTTATGGCAAAGTTTATATTGTTTGTTCTAAGAAAATATTAAGTTAAGTATTTCAACATTTTTGATTCATGAATGTTAGTAAGTTATTTAGTTTGAAATGAGGATGTTACATAAAATCCGAAGGAATACTTCTAGGCCTGCATCGGTCCCGTTGAGAACTTCCTAACCAATGACTCAGGTGGGAATCGGACGCACGGCGTCAGGTCTCACTATAAAGGTAGGATCACACGATTGAATAGGGGCCCAATAAAGAAAGTCCCAATCAAATTCTCTGCAGTCAGATGATTGCCTTATCGTTCATAAAGTTGGTTGTCGTAAATTGACGCAAAACGGCTTAGTGGCAATAATTGCCACATTCCAGTCACACGATTGTTCTAGTATATGGCAACTCTGAGAAACAGCTGTTGTACTAGATTTGTTTTGTTTACAAAAATATAGAAAATTTTAATATATTCGTGAAAAAATGAGTTGTTCATTGAAAAAAAAAAAAAGAAAATTGCGTCGGCTTTAATTATCATGTGTGCACTTGAAGATGAAAAAAACGAAAAAAAGAAAGCTTAAAAGAAGTATATGGGAGAGTGGCTCACAAAAAGAAATACTGATGGCGCATATAAAAAAACACTGATGGAGTTTCGAGAAATAGAAAACCAAAACTTTTTGTTCAACAATTTTTTAAGGATGAATGATGAAACATTTAAGGAATTATTGCATCTAGTGTCACCATATATCGCAAAACAGGACACAAATATGCGTAAGGCAATTCCAGCACAAGAATGCTTAGCTGTAACTCTCCGATTTCTGGCTTCTGGAGATAGCTACAAAAGTCTTTCGGTCTTATTTCGTATAGCCCCTAACACCATATCACTTTTTGTACCAAGTGTTTGTGATGCAATTTATAAAGCATTGAAAGGTTCATACTTAAAGGTATGACATTTCTAAATATGTATTTTTTTATTTGCACTAGTTGTTTTCTTTTATATGTACATATCATATGTAGGTACCATCAACACAAGAAGAATGGAATGAAGTAGCATTTAAATTTAACAATCTGTGGAATTTTCCGAATTGCATCGGGGCGGTTGACGGCAAACATGTTCAAATGGTCGCACCACCGAATTCAGGAAGCACATTTTATAATTATAAAGGCACGCATAGTATAGTGCTAATGGCTGTTGTTGATGCCGAATATAACTTTTTGTATGTTAATTGCAACGGCCGTGTATCGGATGATGGAGTATTCGGAAACTGTTCCTTTCAATGTGCTCTAGATAACAACGATCTTAATTTGCCACCACCGAAACCACTACCAGGTCGTCAAGCATCCGTACCATTTGTTCTAGTTGCAGATGATGCTTTTCGCATGCAGAAGCATTTGCTGAAACCATATCCCGGTAAAAGTTTATCTGCCGGACAGAGAATATTTAACTACAGGTTATCTAGAGCTCGACGTATCGTAGAAAATGCATTTGGTATTATGGCAAAGCGCCTTCAAGTAATTGCATGTCCTTCTAAACTAAATGCGGAGAAAACTACTTCTATAACTTTAGCCTGCTGTGCCCTGCACAATTTTTTGTTAAAAAAAAGGTAAATTACACAACACCGCTGCTTACAGATCGTTATGATGATAACGGTTCTTTTATTCCGGGGACATGGAGAAATTATTTTCCACTGGAACAGAAAATACTCCAAGCTCTTACATAAGTAATGAAGCAAAGGCTATTTGTGAAGAACTAGAAGAATATTTTATGTCAGCAACTGGTGAATTGCCCTGGCAATATAAATATATATAATCACACTGATTGTTGGCTAATTAAAAAAAAAGATGCATTTTACTCATTACAATATCTTATAATATTTTAGAAATGTTTAAATTCGGAGATGAAACTATTTTATAAGAAACCGTACTATCTACTCATGAGTTAAATACATCCCTCCTTTTAAAAATTAGCCAAAAACAAAATTTTTTATTGAAACAAATTTTTTTTTAAAATTGTTGTACTCGACAAAAACCTTCCAGAAATTTAAAACGTTATTTTTTCTATAACTATGTATAAAATAAAAAAAAGTTTATAATTATATACCCAAACATTTAATTTATAAAAATTCATTTTTATTTATATTAAATAAATCTATATTGTACTTCAATCTATCTATCAAAAACAAAAAATAAAAAAAAAAACACTTCAGTCTTAAAAATTAATAAACTAAGCCCAATAAACCAAAGAACGATATGATAGCGAAAACGGTATTGCTTTTAAAGGGCGATTATGATATCATATTTTATTATTTAAAACGATATTATTATAATATCGTTTTATATTTTGTTTCCAATAAAAAAATTAAGAAAATACAAACATTTGAAAAAAACTTCAAATATAAAAATAATTTCAATAAAAATTTTCGAACATAAGAAAACTAAAAAGGATATTAAAATAAAATCAACTAAATTATTGATAAATAATCCAAATAAATACGCGAATTTCGTTCGATACTTCAGTTTTGTGGTAAGTTGACATGTATGCAATTTTGAAAAGTTTCAGGTATTTGCAAGACAATGCATAATGTGATGAAAAATATGATTACTTTAAAATATGTATTAATGTATGTATGTAAATATGTACAAATGAATGCAATCCTTCCCTTTTCAGGCTTTTTTATATGTATAATAGCGAAATATTAAGTTAAATAGCGTTTTAAATGAAATTTTAAGAATAAAAGAGCATACAGAAAAAAAAACTGAAAAAGGCGATTTAACTATCATTATTTTTGGAAATTATGATAGCGAAAACGATATCAAACGATATCATTCTTCAAAATTATTAAACTAACGTATCATACACAAAAAACTATTTTCTAAACAGTTTCAATTCAAATATTTGTCACAATTTGAACATTTTGTTTTCAAAATTAGAAATCAATCTGTTTAGGAAATAGTTTTTTGTGTATTCAGGTTTATATTTCATCTTCTGCTTCCAAAGTTGCTTCCATTACGGTTTTAACAAGTTGCAAGTGCAATTTGTTGGCAGCCTTTTTGTTCTTCTTGGCAATTTCCCGCATTTGTGATGCCAAATACATTCCTATTGTATACCAATTGTCTTCTTCAGCTTCTAAACACTTAATTGCCCGCTGCAACATGTCAGTTAGATGTATGAGTTTCTTCTACATCTAACGTTGACACTGAAGACGAACTATTTGATGTGTAGTGTTGATTATAAAACTGCATTGCAGTCCAATGCGGCCAATGTGGCTGGATGTTTTCAGCACCCTGTCCAGACTTTGCTTTATTTTTCTTTTTGACATTTTGAAATGCCGTTTTCACATTGGCTCATTTGGCCTTACAGTCTTCCACCGTATGCCCAGGACAGTTTTCTTTAATATCGCGCCATGCCTGCACCCGTTTGTTTCGATCTTTATAGTCTGGGATAGAGTATTCCCAAACACAAGGGTGTTCTTCTACAGCTTGTATTAAACCATTAATGCTACTGTAGGTCCAAGATGATGTTACACTTGGTTTTTTCTTTTTTTTTTGGCACAGGAGTTTGTGGTTCCTGAGAGAGGCTGCAGTAAACCAATTCACTGGTAGTGCCATCAAATTCTATGCAGTCATCCAACTCCATAATAAAACTGCAAGTAAATTATAATTGTAATACATATAAAATGTATATTGATTAAAAAATATTATTGGCGCGTATTGTCGTCTTTAATTGCCGCACTAGAACACAATAAATATTGGTGTATTTTTAACGTTTTTATTTGTGCATGGTTGCCTATCAAGCGTTCACATGATTGTCGCACCAGGGTTGCATTTGATTGGCCAAAATAAGAACAATATTGTTGTGGTTTGACATATGAGCCAATAAGTTGTGAAATCACACGATTGGCGTATAAAATATACCAATAATTGGTGTATTGCGGCAATCGTGTGATCCCACCTTAACATAAACCACTAACCTACTGGAGGCCACACTAATTCATTTTTTTCTAAGAAGCCAGATTCATGAATGAATATATAATTTGGTGGGTCTACTACCTTACAAGCGGAATCACAAAATTAATATACCCCAATCTTTTTTGATGGGTATAAAAATATTAGGGGGATATTGATTTTGTGATTCCGTTTGTAAGTATATATTTTTTCTAGATTCTTATTAGATTCTAAGAAGATATAGCCATGTCCGCCCGTCTGTCTGCTGAAACAGTTTTTTAAGAACCGAAATCTATGTCGATTGGTCCACAATTGATCCTATTACATATAGCCCCTTTTACGGAAAATTTATTATCAATAAATAGCATATTAGTTAACCGTAGTATAATAAAAGGATTTATCCATGAAGTCCTCAATTTATTCATTAGATGCTGATGGTGGATATACATATATGATTCGTCATAGCCGAATATAATACTATTACTATTTTCTTGGGAATGATTTTGGTAAAAATTTTGTCGAAAACAGCAATTATTTATTTCATAACTATATAGTACCAAAGTATTTGGAAATTTTGTCTAATCACCTAAAAGTAAACCATTGATTCTTTGGAACAAATCATTGTATGATATTACATATTAGTTTTAAAAATAATGGAACTCTAGACAGAAGCAATTGTCCCTAAGGAAAAATTTGGTAGTTTTTGAAACGTTTTGGTAGTTTTTTGTCGGAACTTTGGTAAGAAAAATCAGTTGTGAGTGGCAACGCTGCTTTCAACAGGATTATCCACATCGGATGCAACGTTTACCTGCCTTTCGGTTCTTCGACACTACCACCAACGTCGGAGCTGATGAAACTGGAAATTGTAATAGGTTGTGATGCCAACTCCCACCATATAGCTTGGGGTAGTACAAACACTAATCGCAGGGGACAAGCCCTTATGGATTTCCTTAATACTAAAGACTTGATCACATCGAACATAGGTAATAAAGCTACCTTCGTCAATAGAATCAGAGAAGAAGTATTAGATATAACTATATGTTCAGAAGAGCTTATATACGAAATTCAGGATTGGAGAGTTTCGGACGAGCACTCTTTTTCTGACCATCGGTACATAAGATTAAAAATACTACGGCCGCCACCAAAGCCGATAAAGTTTCGGAATAAATCTAAAACTAATTGGACAATGTTCGGTTCCTTACTAAAGAACCGTTTATGTCAGGACACTTTTCAATGTCGAAATTAAGAAGATATAGACGCCAAAGTAGAAATGCTCACAAGTGCCTTGGTTGTATCGTTGGAGGACAGCTGCCCTCTGGGAGAGTGGAGATCTGCAAAGGAGAAACCCTGGGTAACCGGGGAGATCCGGAACCTTGGTAAGACTCTTCGCAAACTATTTAACCGGGCACGGCGTAGAAAGACCGCAGTATACTGGGATGAGTATCGTAGTAAACTTGGTGAAGATCTGCCCAGGAGAAACCCTGGGTAACCGGGAGATCCCGAACCTTGGTAAGACTCTTCGCAAACTATTTAACCGGGCACGGCGTAAAAAGACCGCAGTATACTGGAATGAGTATCGTAGTAAACTTGGTGAATATAAGAAAATTGTTCGTAAAGCCAAACGAGACTCCTGGAAACTTTTCTGATATGGTTAAAGGGGCAATCAAGAGATTCGCTCCCTATAAAGCTGCAGGGCCGTATGGGATTTTCCCGGCACTTTTACAGATGGAGGCGGGACTGGTTTCCGTACATCTATCTCAGATATTCACTGCATGCTTGAAATTCACATATACCCCCATTAAATGTCAGGATGCAAGGGTAATATTTATACCAAAACGAGGGAAACCTAGCTATTCGACACCTAAGTCTTATCGACCGATAGGTCTTACGTCCTTCCTACTTAAAACCTTGGAACGGATAGTCGATAGTATGGTTAAATGCAGTATACCCGACAAAGACCTAAAATTTAAGCAGCGTGCTTATGTAAAGGGACGATCGGTGGAAACCGCTTTAAACGAAGTTGTCCACTACATAAGTGCATCCTTTGATAGCAAACTATATACATTGGCGTTATGCATTGACATCGAAGGCGCCTTCAATAACGTGCACACTGATATCCAATCCCTAGACCAGTTTTATGTTTACCGTGTGCTCCGTAACTGGAGCACGTAACCACATGCTAAGGAACAGATGAATAAGCTGCGAGATGTACGATATAACTATCAGGAAAAAGGTATTTCGCGGTATACCACAGGGTGGCATTTTGTCACCTTTACTCTGTTTTACCACGACTGGGTTACCTGACTAAGGAATTACGTTCAGGAAATTGAGTTTATGAACACTGAAAAATAATCCATTCAGTTCCTTTTATTTCATGATAAGGAGCGCACAACAGGTCCGATACATAGTGGCCTAGGTGTATTTCTTCGGATTTGATGTAGTATACCTACCTACTGTTTTCAATTGGTAATCTTTAACGGGACTGTCAACTTGAGTTTGGAATAAAATCCTTTGAAAGGGTCTATCTAAAGGATGTACAAGTATTTGACGATAAATTTTTTGTATATCGCCACTAAATACGTGGCGTATTATGGATCGTTCTGTAGAGTGGGACCTGTGTAAAGGATGTCATTAAGCGAAAATTGCGATTTTGACTTCCTTGAAGCATTGAATAAGACTCTTACTTTTGTCGTTTTGTGTTCCGGGCGAACAACTGCGTGGTGTGGTAAATAAAATGAGCTGTATTTACCTTGGGATACAATTTCATAGGGAGATGTTTCTTCCATGTGATCTAAGGTTATGTGTTCATTAAGAACTGATTTATATTGTGATTGAAGTTCAGAGTCTTTTGATAGAGTTTT